CTCCTTCAGTGCCACAACGATGCCACCTGAAGGTTGCAGGAACAGCAACTCATAGTCCGCTTGGGAACCCTGCAGCCCAATGGTATCAATGTGGACCTCACAAGCTTCAAAATCTCCCCTCCCCCTACCGCATCCCAAAACCAGCCCAGCTCGTCCCCGCCTCCCTAACCTATCCTTCCTCCCACCTATCCCCTCCTCCCACCTCAAGCTGCACCCCCATCTCCTACCTACTAACCTCATCCCGCCCCCTTGACTTGTCCGTCCTCCCTGGACTGACCTATCTCCTCCCTAACACCCCACCTACACTCACCTTTACTGGCTCCATCCCCGCCTCTTTGACCTGTCTGTCTCCTCTCCACTTCTCCTCTATCTATCTTCTAAAGGCCTCCCCCTCTCCCTATTTATTTCAGAACCCCCTTCCCCTCCCCCATTTCTGAAGAAGGGTCTACGTCCGAAACGTCAGCTTTCCTGCTCCTATGATGCTGCTTGGCCTGCTGTGTTCAACCAGCTCTACACCTTGTTATCTCAGATTCTCCAGCATCTGCAGTTCCTACTATCTTATCACTAAGTCTGAATTGCTTTGGGAGATCCTGAGTGTGTGAAAGGCAGTACGGCAGTGTACTGAACCCATTAAATGTGTGTTATCTGATACTCACTTCCACTCCTTGGCATGCACCTCTTCGATCCCGTCTACCTGCAGCGTCTGGGAGACAGACTGAAGCAACAGCTCACACTCCCTCAGTTGGCAAATAACATCTTGGTCTGAGGCTGCCCAGGAACTCTCAGGGGGACCTCCAGGTGACGGACGGAAAGCAACAGCATCGACAGCTTTCAGAGAAAAACAATAACGTATTGAAGATTCTGGGGCCTCAGCTTTTAATGACACTTATCAGTAACTTGGATAAAGGGCTGGTGGTGGTGTGGGAATGTCTCGAGACTAGTAGCCCTGAACACTGGCTCACACACTGGGGACAGGTTCAAACCACCACAGCAAAAGGTAAAAGTTGGACATCAATACAAATCTGGAATTAAAAAATGGATGAACAGCGACCGTGAAACCATTGTTGATGGCCAAAAAAACCCACTCTTGTCCTTTAGGGAGGGAAATTTGCCATACTTTCCTGGTATGATGTAAAGAGAAAGACTTATACATACAGCCACAAAATCACTCTCCAGTCGCAATTCATAGAATCCCTACAGTGTGGAAGTCAGCCATTTGGCCTGTCGAGTTCCCAACAACCCTCCAAAGAGCACCCCACATCGACGCACTCACCTATCCCATCTCTGTAACTCTACAATTCTCACAGCTAATCCACCTAGCCTGCACATCCCTGGAGACTACGGGCAATTTCCCATTGTCAAACCACCCAACCTGTAGGTTTTGGACTGTGGGAGGAAACCGGAGCACCCGGAGGAAACCCACGCAGACACGGGGAGAATGTGCAAACTCCACACAGACAGTCACCCGAGGGGGAACTGAACCCCGGGTCCCTAGCACTGTAAGGCAGCAGTGCTAACCACTGAGCCGCCCATGCACATATTTAATATTATTTGCTGCTAGTTAAGGTGTCGGTTTGTGGATGACTAACTGGCGTATTTTCTGTATGTCTGAAGTTAATTATTAATTAGTAAGCATCTTTGTAGTCATGGTGATTGCTTGTAAAACTGTTAGCTTTCAAATGAATGCGTTTGTACAGACCGCTAATGAACTTCTGCTCAGTTTAGATTGCTTTGTGACCCCGCAAGGTAAAGCTGCCTTACCTGATGGGTCACCGGCTCTGCTCTTTTCATCCTGGTCTTCGACAAATACCGAACCCACACAATTTCCATCTGAACAACACCCCGGAGTTAGGCAGATCACTTCTTGTGGGCTCGGGCCCGAGCTTCTCCTGTCTCCGTGATCCGTGGAAATCCGGCTGCCACTAAACACAGATTCAGAGCCAAAAGAGCCGGCTAATGTCATCCGAAATTTGGAAGAACCGTCCCAGGATTCCTCCTGGTCAGATTTGTCCGGGGAGTCTGGGAGATAGTCCAGTTCGGGAGGTGGGAATATATCATCATCAAGGCTATATGGAAGGGGGAGCTGATTGGGAAGATTGAGGTTCTGGACATCGGGAGTTGTTGTCTGATCCTGGGACTTTAAGGGGTCAATCTGAGGATTAGTTAAAGGCGGAGATATTGGTCTCTGGCTCGAGAGGTGCAGCATCTCAATGGGGGGTGATCCAGAATGCCGCAGTTTGGGAAACCCAGCCCCATGCTCCGTGCAGAGTGGAAGGACAACGTGACATTCCGGCCCCACGTTCCCAGCATGTTTGGATTGCTGCAGCCGACAGGAAACATGGTCCAGGCAGGGCTCAGTGAGTGGCCTGGTGAGGACAGCAGGAGAGGATGGTGCAAAGGCAGAGGGCGATCCCAGGGGAGCAGGCACAGGACAATCCTCAGTCAGGCTGGATCTCGGGGCTCCGCTAAAGCACGATGCTCCACAAGGACCCTCAACATCTGCTGCTCTCTGGGAGAACGTGCGGCCTTCAGCAGGCATGGAGAGCGAGTACAAGGGAACAGCCACACCTCCTAACCCACGGGCACCGGAGGGACCCCCGGCCTCTTCATCACTCTCACTCTCCTCTTTGATGGTTCGAAGCAAGGACTCATCCTCAGTATCACTGATCACAATCACAGAGCCAATCAAAGATCTCTCACCATCAGCACTGGGAGGCGGGGAGACGCCGGGCCCACCGGGAGGCGGGGAGACACCGGGCCCAGTGGTGTCATCTGTCCCATCACTCGATGTTCTGATCCTCTTCTTTGCCTGCAGCGAGAGGCGATTGTCTGAGAGCATTCCTCGAGGAGGACTCACCTCCCCCAGCCGTGTGGACAGAGAGGAGCGGCCACAGACACCAGCCTCATCAGCACACTCCTGAGAATCTACCTTATCAGCTGTGGCATGCTCGCGGGGAACTGCCCTTTCTGCAGACTTCTGTAACAAAGTGACCACGGGTTTCTGATCATGGACCACACACAGAGCAGATCCTCCCTCCACTGTGCTGCCTTCAACACATTCAACTGTAGTGGAAAAACAAGGGAACACAACAATTCAAAATTATTCCAACAGTTTCAGACTGTAGCACAGGCCAAGCCATTCTGCTTTAACATCGACTGGTAGTGTAGGCTTACATATCACACCAGGCCATTTGGCACATCGCTTTTGAAACAGAACTACTGTGCTCAGCCTCCGGCAGAGAGTGCTCCCTCATTGCTGACCCTCCGACAGTGCAGCCCCCCCTCGGCGCCGACCCTCCGGCAGCGCGGCCCTCCCTTGGTGCCGACCGTCCGGCAGCGCGGCGCTCCCTCGGCGCCGACCCTCCGGCAGCATGGCGTTGACCCTCCGACAGCGCGGCATTCCCGCTGGACAGGCACCTTTGGTCTCTCGAGCTTCAAAACCATCTTTCCTCCGCCATTTCACAATATGGCAACCTAACTGCCCAATCCTCTATATGTGGTCTACTCTGAGAGTCCACACGAGTGGAGTAGAACTTTATTACTTCACAATTCCATTCCCCTGGAAAGGAAAACTAATGCACGATTTGTTTCTTGATGGTTTTTCTAACGTTGGTGTGTTTCTACCCAGAGGTTCTTTTGCACCTCTACCCTATCTACAGTCAACTTTGAAATGAATGATGACCTCTCCAAATAAACATCACCAGCTGGGCCAGCATTCATTGTATGTCTATAGGTAGATGCATAAAACCATTAATGAAGAAATTCCAGGATTTTGATCCATCAACACTGAAGGAATGGTGATGTATTTACAAGTCAGGATGGCGAGTGGTTTGGAGGGGAACCTGCAAGGGTGATGTTCCCATGTATCTTCTGCTCTTGTCTTCTGGATGGAAGTGGTCGTGGGTTTAGAAGGTTCTGTCTGAGGATCTTTGGTGAGTTTCTGCAGTGCATCTTGTAGACAGTACACACTGCTGCTACTGAGTGTTGGTGGTGGAGGGACTGACTGCTCGATTTTAGCTTTCCCTTCCAGAAAGGAGTTTAGGAAAGTTCAGTGAATGCTCAGATACCTTGGCATAAAGAATTAGTTTATGAAGCTTTGAGACCAGGCGTGCTGAGTTAGAGATTGGCCGGTTAGTAAAGGAGAGAAAAGCTTTCAATTCTGACAGTATTCGTATAAGACTTCATGGTTCACAAGAACAACCAGTGAGAAGCAGTTAAGTTGCACCTAAAGATTTGAAATGGAGGACAATTTCTCTGGATTTGAAACACTGAAGTGATGGTGCTGTGGAATAGATGAGACTTTGTTTTGTGTTTTAAGATCTTTCAAACTGTGTTCTACATTTGTTTTATCTTATTTTTACTGTTTCTATGTTGAAGAAAAGCTGCACCCTTGTGTGTTTGCTTTTCCACGCAGAGGGTGCTGCATGTATGGAACGAGCTGCCAGAGGAAATGGTGGAGGCGATTACAATTACAACATTTAAAAGGCATCTGGATGGATATGTATAGGAAGGTTTATAGGAATATGGGCCAAATGCTGGCAAATGGGACTGGGTTAATTCAGGATATCTGGTCAGCATGGACAAGTTGAACTAAAGGGTCTGTTTCCACGCTGTATAACCGTATGACCACACATTACTGAAGAAAAATGGTTAATCAGGTCAGGTTTCATTCTGCAATGCAATTTGTCCTGTCATATCAGATAGGACCACTCCACTCACTGCTTCCTGTTTTGAAACTAGCTGGCAACATGAAACGTCAGCCTTCCTGCTCCTCTGATGCTGCTTGGCCTGCTGTGTTCATCCAGCTCTACACCTTGTTATCTCTGGCAACACATTCTGCTCTGTCCCCCTCCATTATCATTCATTAGTCTAGGATTAGACTTTTAACAATATATTCATTAAGGGAATCAGAGGCTCTGGGGAAAAAGCAGGAAAGTGGGGTTGAAGATTATCAGATTAACCATGATTTCATTGAATGGCAGGTCAGACTCAAATCAGCTGAATAATCTACTTCTGTTCTTATGTTTTACGGTCTTTTTAAGGCCTTTTGAAAATTGTCTGCTCCCTCAGTCACCTCCTCAAACACCTCAACAGGATTGTTCAAACAAAATCTTCTCTTTAATTCTAGATGTACTTTGATATCGGTTTTTAGTTGGGATTCCAGTCCTTGCCTAGTCACTGGTGCTAAGCTGATTGGTCTCGAGTCTGCCTTAAATTCTGTTAGGCAGTGCCGGAGGACTGGCAGACACCTCTGACAAATTATTAAAAATAAGCCCTGCCTCTGCTATCTCTTCCCTAGATTTTATGTTTTTGTTAATTTCAAATATGAATGCTTACCTGAGCTTATTTGGTTCATTGCTGGAGATGCTATCTTTCTGTCTGTTCCCAACTCCTCTTTACTGGATCCCAGGAAATCAGCCCTTGGTCTCCCAATTTCAATGTCATTGCGGTTGGTCACTGGGTCTTCTGCTAATTCTACACTTGGTTTGATCCCTGATTCACTTCCAGCTTCCCAAATGGTGATGGTGGTGATTTCTCCTTCTACGTGCAGTCCTCCCCTCCACACGGGCGAGCTGCCACTTTGGTCTGGATCCTTCGTATCAATATTCTGGGCTACCACCCTCCTGGATCGATCTGTCTCCAATCTGGGGGACCGATTGGGTGAGAAGCCCAGACAGAAGGCCTCAGCCTCCTGCTGCCTGCCACCTGAAGGCTGCATGTCAGATCCAAGGCCAGATATTCGTGCTGTTGGGGAGGCTTCCCACTCAGGAGGGGCCGACAGGCCAGCAGGACACTCAAGCCCTGGGTTCCAAGTGCAGTTGCCTCTGGTGTTTGGCAGGAGCTCAACAAAGTGGCTGGGAGCAAGATTCTGTGCAGGAAAATGTCCCTCATCTGAGCTACGGGATAGGGTACTCTGGACTTCGGAAATCTGAAGAGGAGGAGGATCTGACCCAACACCGTCAACATTCACACGCCTCTCTCCCATATCGCAGCTATGGCCCGGGTTCTTGTGGCTGGAAGGTGGTGATTCCGTTGGGTGGAAAACTTCAATTGCATCCTGGCTACAATTTGAACTGTCGCCAGGAGACAATGATTCTGCTGGGCTCAAACATCCCATTTCACCAAGTTGCCCAGGATCGTAAGTTTCAGAACTTGTGAGGAGAGCAGGTGAAGGAAGGGGTGACTTATCTGTGATCTCCAGCAATGAGCCCCCCATCCCATCATCACCATCAGTTGTTGTTGTTGCCTGGCTCTCCCTCAGTCCCAAACCCCCATTCTCTAACCCTTCATGGGAATCTGTGCTGGGAGAACGGTGTGAAAGTGAGCTCCAGCTTACCCTGGAAGCATCATCTGCCTCCATATCTGTCCCCAATTCCTCAGTAAGGGAAAGGGAAGGATTAATGTCCTCGGCCACAGTGACCTCTTGCAGCTGGACGGTATCTCCTGGGATGTGGTTGACGAAATGATTGTTGCTGGGGTCTGGAGACACGACATGGGAGATGTCACCCTGGCTGATTTCCTGGGCTGTCTCCATTTTTCTGGCAGGTTTACCACCCTCCTCGAGAGAGGTTTCTGAATCACCCATCGCTCCAATGGGCCAATTCACCAGCTCAATGGATGGACGAGAGACTGGAGACGTGGGTTCAGTTGATTTGCACAAGCCGATGCCATCAGCACCAGTTCCACAGTCAGAATTGCTGCCCATGCAGCAAGGGCTCTTGTGATCGCTGGGTTCCCTTGGCTCCTGGTGGGGTTCTGAATTCTCAGAGCTGTGACACTGATCCACATCACACATCTCAGTCTCCACACCCTGCTGTGACGTGTCAACAATGTGCACCTCAGGCTGAGACACTCGAGTTTTGAAGAACTCTCTAGCGACTCGCGCAACCTCGTCCTGTCTGTTCACTGCTTGCACTTTCCTGGCAACACGACATTCCTGAGACACTCTGTATTCTGTGACAAACTGTTGGACCAGTCTGCCTATGTACCAGGCCCGAAGCTGCCTCAGTTCCTTTGCGAAGGACAGCAGAATCAGATTCTGCCCCTCTGCTGGTGCAAGCCCCTCTGCTGGTGCAAGCCCCTCTGTTCCAACTTGCTGAGACAAGCACACTCTTTTACTGGGACATGCAGTAGTAGAATTTGAATCCAATGCCCCTTCTCCTTCACAAGACCTCTTCAATGGTCGGGAATCAAGGTTCGTTCGGCTGTTTAGACTCTTGCCTGTAATGTCCTCCCTCTTCAATGGAGACTCTGAAAGTTGCAGATTCAGATACTTGGGGTCTGAAGAGACAATCGTTGTGCCAACTTTGACAACCCCATCTGTATCACTGACATCAGCGGTTTCTGTCTCCGCTAAATCAGCGCTCCTCACAACTACCTGACACTTGGTCATTCTGTCCAGTTCCATGTCTTGCCACCCAACGGGCGCTGATTCAGGCTCAGAATTGGTCACCAGTGACTGCGGCAACACAGCACCATGTTCTTCACCAAGAGAGTTGGGTGGTACCATGTTCTCCTCCTGCCGGCACTGTCCACCTTCACCAAGCGCCACTGTCTCAGTTTCCTGTTCAACACCTCTGTCCTTTGGGCAGCATTTTCTCAGTATGCTGTCATTTGGCTTTTGTACTTCAGCTCCCTGTTGGGAATGGGCTCTCAAATCCTTGCATTTGGAGACATTCGTGGTGCAGCCTGAGTATGTTGGTACAACCCCATTGTGCAGACGGCTCAAGATCTGGGGAACTGTGTCCCTCAGTGTACTCAGCCCCTGCTCACCCACTGTCACCTGCTCAGTTTGGACATCCCCTTTCCCAGTTTGCTCGAGAAAACCTGCAGACACAGCTTCAGTTTCCTTGGAGGAGACTAATTGCTGCTCGAGGTGACCAGGAGATAAACGGGAGTGGTGCTTTTGCTCCAAATGTTCACCTTTGAGCTCAAGATCTTCAGCCCGTTCTTCACCCAAGACAGTCAACTCCTCAGAGAAGCCGGTTGGAAGGCAGGTACCCTCTGAGATTATTACATCTTCAGGCTCACATGCGCAGGGAGTGACTGTTCCTGATGTTTGTACTGAGTCACGTTTATTGCTCACGGAGGTGGGGAGACTGAAGTCCAGCTCTCTCACAACTGTACAGTCTGGTGAAGGGGGAGAAGTGGGGAGGTTAACTTTATTGGTTACGATGCTCAGCTCCTCCTCATTCTCTGCAATAGTGACTTCATTGTCTGATAAGGTACCTGGCACCTGTGTACAGGTCAGCTGTTCTGAGCTGGAGGCCTCCTCTTCATCACTGGCAGTTTGGTCACTCAGCTCATTCCTTTCCACTGGCTCACATACTGTAACATGGCCTGAGGCATTTTGCTCACTGGGCTCTTCCCCTCCCTTTAGCTCAGACGAATCCAGCATCTCAGGGGACTCAGTGGCCAGGATAGATCCTTCCTCTGAGATCTCACCCAACAAACCCCTCTTTCCCTCGGCTTCAAAAGCCTTGGAATTTTCATGTTTGATGCTGGCCATTTCCAGGCCATACTGAACACACTGTTGTCTTGTATCAGGGCTGGGCGACACTGTAGGGGAGCCTGCCTGTTCCATAGCCTGGTAAACTCCGACTTGGAGTTCCAACAATCCAGTAGCTTCCTCCGAGACTTGAGGCCTTTCCATCTCTCCATGCTTCACATCCACAGGAACATCCTTTTCAGAGGATGCAGGAGCTAATTTCTTTCCCGCATCCAGTTGCTTCTGACTGACTCTTTCAGTCTTACAACCACCAGGTCTGGGGGACATAGCTGCAGTGAAAAGCAGAGGCCGTGTACTGGGGGCGGCTGTGATCCAAACTTTCCCCTCCTTCTGGCAAACAGGAACCGGTGTGTGCCCAGGAGTTAGTTCAGTCTGCATTGTGTGCATGTCACTACAAATCTCATCTTCCCTGCCCTCAGCATCTTCTTGGCCAGCCAGCTCAGTTTCTTCCATTAAATGACTGCTTGGACCATCACAAAAAGCATCACTCACAATGGACTCTTCCTGCTCGGCCCCATAAGACAAACCCATGCACATAGGTAATTCTCTCTCAGCCGAGTTTGATCCCTCCACCAGGTCTTCACTCCGTGATGGGCTATGACTTTGCAGTTCTCTGTTCTCTGGAGTGGCAGGGCTCAACATGAGCTCTTCAGCCACATTTTCTTCACTCTGCTCTTCAGCCAAGGGCTGCCCTCGAACTGGATCCTCAAGTTCCATCCTTTGGGAATCAAAGGGACCAGGTTTGACGAACTCCGCTTCCGCCCCACCCATAGTTTCTACATTCCCCGAGTGACCCAGCAGGAACTGGGTCCTCTCAGTGCCTTGGGTTCCATTCAATCTCCCCTCTGGCACCTCATCTTCTCCAACGCAAGCCACGCCCTGCTCTAACCGATCAGTGTCTGCTGCCCCCAAACACCGAGGTTCATCGTGCCAGTCTCCCTCTTGCTCATTTCCCCTGCTTAACTCCGATTCTCTCCCACGCGCCGTGCCTGAAGATGGATGAGCTTCCCGAGGCAGGAGCCGAGTATCCAGGATAGAGGAGGTCAAATCACTGCTCGGCATAGACACAGACTCAGAAAGGAGGACAGAGCTGTTTACTGTCACACTCGGCTCAGTCGGCATTGTCACATCAAAATGTGCAGCAGCAGCGGCTTCGTCCAGAACAGGGGGGTTACGCACAGAGGATTCGCAATCTCCAGCGCTGCCAGGAGGAGCATGCACCTTCTTTCTAGAACGTTCTTCAGTGGAGTCAGCAGGACAAGCATCAGCTGTTTCCCCAGAGCCTGTAAATTCTTCTTCGGTCTCCGCAGCATTTTCAGACACAGGGACTCTCTTCTGACACCTCTGAGTGATAGGATTGTCACGGCTGCCATGCCAGGCAATGCCCACAGTCGAGGAGGGTGGTGGGACAGCACTGACTGGTAATGTTGGGCTTTCTCTAGCCTCCACGACCTGGCTCGGAGTCGGAGGGCAACACGGGATTGTTGATTCGGTGGTCTCAAATTTACCACTCCCCACCGGAGAGGCTGTTCCTGGCCTGTCACCTCCAGAGTCCACCACTGGAGACAGGCTGGTCCGTTCTTCACCTGGGGGATTCCCGTTCCGCTCTGTCCTAACGGTGTCAGTGAAATGATTGCAGGACTCACTCAGCAATTCTGACTGCATGCTAGAGGTTAGAAACCTTGAGGGCAAGTGCCCCTCCCCTTCAGCGTGACCCCGTCTGGGCAAATCCTGTCCAGTTTCAAACAATATCAGAGGTTCACCTGTCACACCAGGCTCTATGTGGCTCTCACCTTGGAACAGACCTACGTTATCCCGATCAGGGGTAACCGGACTGGCATTGTGCAGATTCTCTGAACTTGCTGCCTCATCCTGAAATTCCTCTTTACACCCCGAGGGGCCCGATGTGCTACTTAAAACCTGGACGTTGCTGGAAGGCACATTCACAGATGACTGCTCGCAGTGGCTTTGGTCAATAGTCTCCTTCTCTGCTGTGGAGCTCAGGGTTTCAGTCTGCGTCAGTGGGCCAAGAGTGCCCTCATTTCTGGGTGTCACCGTGGTCAGGGACACATGCCAGAGGGCACGTATGCAAGAGGGAACGTGAGCTACACTTATACCAAGCTGATGTGCCACTCGTGTCTCTGCAGCTTCCAATCCTACCTGGTTGGCTACGTCTCTCACTGGCGTCAATGGCTCAGATCCTTCCAGCTCCTCCTCCCTCATGATGTCACCCTGTGACGGTGACAGAGGTGACTCGTTCATCTTTCCCTCACCTCCACAACTTACAGCCTCAGGGACAGCAACACATGCAGCTGTTAGCTCCAGCTCTGAGGGAGCTGGGCAAGTATTAGAGAAATTAGATTCCACTATCACATCCCTGGCCACATGCCCAGACACTGAATCAACATTCATATCTTCACTTGATCCAATGGTATCTCCAATCTCCATGGAATTGTCTTTGTTTGTGGAAACCAGAGTCTCAGAAATCTCCACAACACCAGAGCTATCGCCATGGAGATACCCTTTCTTCACAATTCTGTTATTTAAAGTGAGTCTGGTTGGTCCTCCCACTGCCTCAACATTTACGTCCACAGATCCAATGGGAATACTTGGAAATTCTTTACATTCCAGAGGATTCAGTCCACCATAATGTTGGACATCACTAGAACGTGATTCACAGGTTTGCTCAGTTTCTTCTAACTCTCTCTGATCAATCAAGTTGCGTTCGCTTTGCATTTCCACACCTTCCATGAAAGTGACAACACCCCCTGGTTTGGAAGAGTTTCCTGGAGTATTTCCCTGAATTACACAGCCTCTGCTATCTCCTGTAGCCTCTCCATGCTCTGTGCTAGGCCACACTCCCTCACAGAGTTGGCCAACTGCATTGACCGCACCCTGTGGTCCAGCCCGATCCGAGTGCCAAGGTCTCACAGTGGAACAGCAGCTCCCTTTTTCTGGATCGAGACATGGCAGGTTAATGGAGTTGGCTAATTCTGACGCAGAATGGTCAGTGGGTGAACAGGCAGTGACTGGAATGCTGCACACATCCCTGATTTCTTTCACAGCCAACTGTGACGTAGTCTCAATCTCAGCAGAATAGGCAGAGCCGTGACCTTTTGACATGGAATTATGCAACGTGAGACAGTCAACCAGTGTAGTGCTGCAAATCTTTGCTGACCACACTTCAGTGTGGGTCATACTACCCTCTACTGCTTTCCTAGCCACAGAAAATCCATCTACATCTGCAATCTCCTCCTTGTGTGCAACTGCTGATTTGGAATCAGTGTGTGATACTTCTGGGTCAACCAAACTTCCTCCTTTTCCCTTCTCCCCTGTAGTTTCTCCTGGAGAAGAGTTTAAAGGTTCTGCGCTCAAGCCGACAGTATCCAGAAGGTGTGGTTTATCAAAGGCAAATGTACTGTCACTTGAGTTCAGGTGCTCAGTTGTTAAACCAGCATCGAGGGTCGCTTCACCGAGAGGTGGACATTGGGAAGAAACTTCTTGTGACTCTCTGTCGCTCGCGAGATCAGATCCAGGAACTGGACTGATCTGCACATTAGACACTGCAGCTGCAAGCTCACACTCCACAGGTTGTACTCCTGGAGCACTGGCCGATTCCCTTTCAGCTCCCACAGTCTCGGTGTGGTGACAGTTCACATCTTTACTGAGATGGTCACCATCCACCCACTGCCCAGCCACCGCCAACTCCCCGTTCTCTCTCGATTTGCTAGTCACTGACAGGGGACCTACACTGTCTACACCTTGAGGGAGTCCAGAGCTTGCATGCTGTCCAGGTGAGCCCATTTTCTCATTTCCCACATGTGCTGTTACGGCAGTGCCCAGTCTATCCCGATGCGACAAGTCAGATGCCAGAATATTTTTATCCAAATTGCCATTTCTTGGATTATCAATGGGTTTGTGCAAATTCCCTTCTGTGGGGCCACAGGTCAAATCCTCTCCAGTCACAGAGTTACTCTCAACGAGTCTGACATTGATGAAAGAACCATCTGCCATGACATTGTGTGGTATCACTGTCTGTACAGGTCTGCCTGCTGAGCCAATCTCGTTCTGTACAGATTGAATTTCCTCATTTTCAACATTCCTGTCTGAAGAGCGATCCAGCCAGTTGGCAGAACAGGAATGCCGCGTTTCAAACTCCTCCATTGACTCAGTCGGCTCGCCTTGCCTTAGACAGCTGTCATCACTCAGGAAGTGGCACTGACTGTCCATTCCCTGCACCTTAACTGCAGCCGAATCCCAACAGGAGTCACTCAGGGTAGGTGTAGAGCCTGCTGATGTGACACCCTCCCGAACCGTGCCCAAAGCAGCCGGGAGCTCCTCGGTCAGTGCACCATCTTGTGCCGTGGGCTCAGTCACAATGTGCTCACCATCGCTACTCTCTACAACGGCATCACTGTCCAGCTGCGGCTCCATGCACACAGTTGCTATGGCATCTGCCACAGAGGGTGCCCATTCCATACCCACAGCAGCCCCTGGCGCATGCTCTCCCACACTCGGAGAACCGTCCTGGTTGTCCCTTTGGTAAGGCTGGTTGGTGCCACCTGCCAGGGTCACTGGCCCAGCAGCGGTCAGACCAGTTGAGATGCCTTTAACCGGAGTGGCTCCATCCATTGTCAGATCAGGGTGTGTTGACATGCGGCCTCCCCTCACACTCTCGCTCCAACCACCTCGCTTTGCCCAGTCCTGCTGAAAGCAGGGCATGGGCATCAGGGTTTGGGCAGTGGTGGCCATGCTGGCATCCTCTGATCTCCGTCCCATTCGACTGGGTGGTGCCTGTGCCCGTTCATCATCCTGGAAGGACGAGAGATGCACCCTGGAGCCAGGCCTATCCTTCAGGGAATGTGGGCATTCATGGCTTGTAGTTTCTCCTGGAGGTGGAGGTGTCTTTGTGCAACTTTCAGGCAGGAGTCTGTTCAAACGTTCATCAGAACCTGGAGAGGCAGGATGACCAAACTGCCCCGAGTCCACCAGTGGAAGATGGGATCCGCAATCCGTGATTCGGGAATTGGTGCACCGGCTACTCAGAGATCCCTCAGCAACAGGAAAACCACTTTCAGCTGAGGCCGAGAGCTGGGAAGCTGGTCCCGGAGGAATCGGTGGCACCGCAAGACCATGGGATGCTCCGGGTAGCAGGGAGGAGGTCCTGAGGTGTGCCGCCTGGTTGGTGGATCCGGAGGTCTTGGGTGCAAGCTGACAATCTGGAAAACACATCATCCGAGGTGGGGTGAATTCAGGTCTTTGACAAGTCGAGTGAGAAGCCCATGGAACCACTGGGCAACCCCCAGAATCGTGCAGCGCCATGGCATGTCTGACACCAGCATCAGCCACTTCCACAGGCCACCGTCCTCCCTGCAGGAACCCAGGGAACATTCCCAAGAAGCACGGAGGCATCGGCAATCTCGGGCAAGGGACAGGAACAATCATCGAGCTCTGCATTTGACAGGAAAAGCAGATTATTTTTAACCAGCCTCACAAAAAGATTTTGTAGCATTGATTACTCAATATACGCAGTTGCATACAATAAAAAACAGACTTTCCCTGTAGGCCTGTAGAACATGGAGAATGACCCTCATGATATATTTGGGGCTGGAATGCTTCTCCTGAATTCTGGGCTGCATACATTAGTGACTGCTCTGTATTCATAACCCCTAGATGTAGAAACTTCATTAGTTCATTTTGCTCTTCAGTGAAGACACAGTGGGACTATTACCCAGTCAGAATCCACATTGGGGCTCCAGTCTCTCACTGACCCTCATGACCCAAGACCACAGGCTGGAGAGGCAGTGCTGAACCATTCGAGGGGCAGTACTGATGGAAGGTTGGACAAGACACCAAATCAATGGGGCATCAATCCCCATCTGCCAACTCAGGCAGATATACAAATTCTTGCGACAATTTTAAGAAGGGAGGGGAGTTCGGTCTAGAAACCTGGTCAATATTCATCGCTCAAGCAACATTTCCAAAACAGCTGATCTGTCATTCTCACTTTGCTGATTGTTGCATTGTAGGAATGAGGCAGGCCCACACTGACCACATTTTAAATTGAAGGTGTAGAGGGATGTGAAAGGCACTTGAGAATTGTAAGTCGTTCTTTTTGCATTGTTACTGTTATTTTGCAGAATCAGAGCTAAGAGCAGCATGCAGACTGCCTGTCTTATTCTAAGGAAAAAGTTAATTAGTCTCATGGAATCTGCTAATGCCCTCATTGTAAGACAAGCTTGCAATATTTTCTACACCGAGCTAGGTGACATTTGGACCACTGGCCAAATCAAGCAAGGTCCTGCTTACCTGTAGTTGGGAGCTGGGCCCAGGATCCTGTCTCAATCCACTGCCTTCTTCCTGCTCACAGTCACACAGCTCAAACTGAGAAAACACCACAAACAATATAATCAGCATAAGCCTTTGTCCTTCACACCATCTCCTCTTGCTCGGGTGAAGCATAACTTATATTCCATAAGCACCTGGAACACTGCACCCATCAGTCTGATTTTTTGAGTAGAACGTGGATGTCACTGGCTTGGTTATCTACTGCCTAACCCTAACTGCCCCCCGAGAAGGTTGTGGCTGCCCCTTGAATTGCGGGAGCCCTTTTCAACATGGCACAATGAGCCACATTAGTGAGGGGGGCGGGGGAGACGAGCAGGAATGTAGAGAAGGTGGAGGATCAAATATTTGGAGGGAAAGACACAGGTCTTGGCAATGTACAGCACATGACCAGAAGACTGTGTTGGCTGCCAGAGGCTAGGATTCAGGGCATCTTCTCTGTGATGGAGAGAAACTTGCAATGGCATAAGCACACAAATAAACAGGCAGGAGTAGGCCATTCAATGAGACCATGGCTAACTTGTTTGCCTTTCAAATTTCACATGCCCATCTACCATTAACATGCCTCAATTCCCTACTTGACAAACATCTATCCACCAATCTCTCAAAAATATTCGATGGCCCTGCTTCCAATATCTTCTGAGGCAGAGAATTCGACAGAAACTAGGAACAGGAGTAGGTCTTTTGACCCTTCGAGCCTGCTCTGCCATTCATTATGATCATGGCTGATCCTCTATCTCAATTTTTTCTCCATACCCCGTTAGTATTTAACATGTTTTTGATCTCTTTCTCCAAAATATTCAGTGACTTGGCCTTCTGTGATGGATAATTCCACAGGTTCATTACCCTTTGAGAGTGAAGCAATGTTCTGTCATCTCAGTTGTAAACATATCCTGAGACTGTGTTCCCTGGCTTTAGACTCCCCAACCAGGGGAAATATCCTCCGTGCATCAAGTCTGTCAGCCCTGTTAAGAGTTTCAATCAGTTCCTCTCTCACCCTAAATTCTAGTGAATACAGGCCCAGTCAAACCAATCTCCCCTTAATTGAGAGTTTTGCTATCCCCAGTATTCGCCTGGTGAACCTCCATTACACTCTGTCCATGGCAAGTATATCCTCTCTTAGCCAGGGAGACCAAAACTGCAAATGATACTCCAGCTTTGGTCTTAGCAAGGCCTAGAATAACTGCTGTAGCACACCCCTACTTCTGAACTCAAATTCTTTTGCAAGGAAGGACATGCAGATCATTTCCCCTATTAATTACTTGTGCACCTAAAACAAAAACAGTGAATGCTGGAGAAACTCAGCAGGTCTAGCAGCATCAGTGGAGACAGAAACAGAGTTAACATTTCAGATCCGGTGACCCTCTGTCAGAATTTGCTGCACCTGCCTGTTTACTTTCATTAACCGGCTTACAAGGACACCCCCAGATCCCTTTGTACATCCACACTTTCACAACATCCCTCCTATAGCAGGGAGACCAGCATTGTACGCAGTATTCCAAAAGTGGCCTAACCAATGTCCTGTACAGCCCCAACATGGTCTCACAACTCCTATACTCAATGTACTGACCAATAAAGGTAAGCATTCCAAATGCCTTCTTCACTATCCTGTCTACCTGTGCCTCTACTTTCTAGGAACTATGAACCTGCTTTCCAAGGTCTCTGTTCAGTAACACTCCCCAGGACCTTACCATGAAGTGTATAAGTCCTGCCCTGATTTACTTTACCAAAATGCAGCAGCTCACATTTATCTAAATTAAACTCCATCTGCCACTCCTTGGCCCACAGGCCCATCTGATCAAGCTCCTGTTGTAGTTTGAGATAACCTTGTTGACTGTCCACTACACCTCCAATTTTGGTGTCAGCTGCAGACTTACTAACTATCCCTCCTACGTTCACATCCAAATCATTTATATAAACGACAAAAAGCAGTGAACACAGCACTGGTCCTTGTGGCACCCCGCTGGTCACAGGTCTCCAGTCTGAAAATTAACCCTCCACCACCACCCTCTGTCTTCTACCTTCAAGCCACTTCTGTATCTGCACTTCCCACACTTCCGATTGTAAGGGACTGTATTTGTCTTCACAAATTTATAGGCGTTTTAAACAATCAGTTTTTATGTCTCTGCAGATTTACTCTTACACTTTACTTTCCTCCTCTTGATCAATCTTTTTGTCCTCTTTTGCTGAATTCTAAAATGCTCCCAAGTCCTCAGGCTTGCTGCTTTATCTGGCAATTTTGTATGTCTCCTCTTTGGATCTAATACTATCCCCGACTTATTTTGCAAACCATCATTGAGCCACCTTTCCCATTTAAATATCCACCAGATAGGAATGAATAATTATTGTAATTCACTTACATGTTACTTAAATGCTAGCCATTGCTTATTCACTGTCAACTCGTTGAGTAAGGTTCCCCTACCATCATTGCCAACTCATGCTTCATACCCTGGCAGTTTCTTTTATTTAGATTCAGGGCCTTAGTATTGATTCCCATTCACTCAATGTATTTATAACCTTCTGCAACTTTGTTACGTCTTCTTCACAACGTAATTTCTCCCATCTCAGCGTCACCTGCAACTTTAGCCACCATGTTTTCCACTCCCCTCAAAGCCATGGATAAAGCTGCAAAATGTTGAGGCTTCAGCACAGATCCCAGCAAGATTCACTCATCATATCCTGACAAGTAAAGAAAGGCCCATTCTGTCAGCCTGCCAGTCTTCTATCCTTGTTCATATATTACCCCATATACCACGAGCTCTCATTTGGTACAATGCAATAAGAAAAAAACCTGGCAAATTGTATAATGAATGCAGTAATGATGAAATACGCCCCACTTGCCCAAAATGGGTGCATTTCAAACAACACTTGAGAAACTCAACTCAGGATGAAGTGGTCCACTTGACTGGTACCATAAAAAAACTTTCAACATTCACTCCCTCCGCTATCATTGCATGGTGATAGCAGTGTGTACTGTCGACAAGATGCACTACAGTAACTCAGCAACGCTCCTCTGACAGCTCGTTGTAAACTCACGATCTCTACCACCCAGAAGGACAAAGGCAGCAGGCATGTGGGATCACAACCACCTGCAAGTTCTTCTCCAAGTCACTCACTATCCTGACTTGGAAATATATCACTGTTCCTTCACTGTCACTGGGTCAAACTCCTGGAATTCTCTTCCTAACAGTTTTGTGGGTATCAGTGCAGACCAAGGACTGCAGTGGCTCAAGGTGGCAGCTCACCATCTCAGTCACCAGAATAGCTAAGGGTGGGCAATAAATGTCAGCCAGTCTCCAATGCCCACATCCCAAGAATGAACACAAAAATGATAAATTATAAGAACAGGACTAGCTAAGGAAACTAGGCAGCAATAAGGAAATTGATCACCTGAGTGTGGCAGGAAGGGCGCAGAGCGTACAAACGTTAACAGTGCACCAACAGTTAAGGATAGAGGTCCTGGAAATAGTAAAACTAAATTCTCTATATACGAATACACGCACCATTCACAACTGACAGCTCAAACAGAAATAATATGTATGATTTGATCGATATTGTAGAGACATGCCTGCAAGTTGACAAAGGCTGGGCCTTGAATTTTCCCAAGGGTACGTGACATTTCAGAAGGACAGGAAACTATGAAAAGGTGATGGGATAGGTCTGTTAATTATAAATGACCCATGTACAATAGACAGAAATGACCTTCTGGACAGGAGAATATGTAATCTGTTTGGGTAGAGACGAGAGATCGTAAAGGTAAGAAGGCACTTACAAGAGTGGCTTAGAGGGCCCCTAACAGTAACCATATTGTAGAACAGCGCATACAGGAAGAAATTTATGGGGCTTTTAAGAAAGATATGACAATAAACATGCGTGATTTTAATCTACAAATTGCAAGTGCAAGGATAACCTGGAAGGTAAGGTCGGAGAGCTTCTCTCTTACATTAGCATGTTCTGGAGTCAGAGATCCCAGGCTTTAGATTTGATACTATGCAGAAAAACAGGTTTAGTTAGTGACCTCACAATAAAGACACCCTTAGGTAGCAGTGATCATCATATGATTGAATTTTGTATTCAGGTGGAGGGAGAGAAAAGTGAATCTAAGACTAACGTTTCTAAACTAAATTAGGGAAATTATGCAAGTATGAAGACAGACCTGATTAGAGTGAGTGGTATAAATGAGGTTAGGGGATGAGTCAGTAGAAATGCAATAGCATATATGTAAGGATATTTTTCAGAATATTGCAAAAATAAACATTTCAGTGAAAAAGAAAGACATTAGGGGAAAGACGCACCAACAAGGGCTAACTGAGGAGATTGAAGATATTATCAAATGCAAAGCAAAAGTGCAATCAGGAGATTGGGCAGATTATAAAAAGCAGCAAAGAAGGACTGACTGATCAAAAAGGATGACAACATTACAATATGAGAAAAAGCTAGTTAGAAGTATTAAAAACATAGCAAGAGTTATGACAGGTTTTCAAAAGGGAAGTGAGTAAGTGAGTGTTGGTTCTCTGTACAGAGGGAATTAATAATTATATGTAAGAGAAAACGACAGATTAAATGATATTTTGCATCTGTCTTCACTATAGAGAATAATTGTAAATGGCAGAGAGGAACAAAAGCAGTCACAATCACCAGATTGAATTCTATGAATTCTATGAGAAAATCACTGCAATTAAAATGTCATGTTGGAATGATGTGACTATGAGTGCCACAGGCCTTCAACAATTTACAATCTATATTAATGACATGGATCAAAGGGCCAAATGGAGAGCTGTTAATTTACTCATGACATAATGACAAGTATGAAAGTAAGCTGCAAAGAGAACATAAGGAGTTCCCAAAGGAATACAGATAGGTTAAGTGAGTGAGCAAAAATTTGGCAGATGGGACATCAAGTTCAACAAATTCAGCCAGTGAACTCTAACCCCTATTTTATTTGACAAATGCTGATTTGATTTGAATCTGTTTTCCATATTTTAGCTTTCAGAAACAGATGTTCATGACATTTACATTCACTCTAAATAAATGTTTTTTGTCTCTATTACAACCTTTACCCCCTCAAATCACATTTCTTCCTCCCTTCAGTTTTGAAGGGCGAGTGGTAAACAATTAACTCTGTTTGGACCATAAGATAAGATATAGGAGCAGAATTAGCCTATCGAGACTGCTCTACCATCCAAGCATGATTGATTGTCGACCCAATTCTCCTACCTTCTCCCTGTAACCTTTGATCCCCTTAATAAGCAAGAACCTATCTATCTCTATCTCAAAAACACTCCGTGACTTCTACAATATCATTATTGTTAGGGGCCCTCTAAACCACTCTTATCAGTGCCTTCTTACCTTTACTTGGCTTTCATAGGCAATGAGTTCCACAGATTTACCACCCTCTGGCTGAAGAAATTCCTCTTCATCTCTAAAGGGTTGACCCTTCACGTTGATATTCTGCCCTCGAGTCCTGGTCTCTCCTCAGGCCTTTCAGTATTCTGTAGGTTTCAATCAAATCCCTTCCCTCATCCTTCTAAACTCAGAGTACAGACTCATCCCAAACTGCCCTTAAACAAAGCACACTGCTGTGGGTCTGGAATCACGAGGAGGCCGGACCAGGTAAGGAAAGCAGACTTCCTTCCCTGAAGGACACTAGTATATCAGATGGGTTTTCTTTAAAACAACAATTGTTGATCATTATCACTGAGACAGGCTTACAATTCCAGATTCATGAACTGAACTCAAATCCCACTACAGTGGGATTTGCACCATGTCTCCAGAACAGTAGTCCGAATCTCTAGATCACTAGTCCACAAAAAAACCAAAAGAACTGCAGATGCAGTGGAGAGAAAGCAGAGTTAACGCGTCAGCTCCAGTGACACCCACTTCTGAAGGTTCTCTCCACAGATGCTGCTAGACCTGCTGAGTTTTTCCAGCACTTTCTGTTTTTGTTTAAAAAAAACATACTTGTTAAAAGGAAGGTGTTGGGGTGACCCAAGAGATTAATCCCTGCAACGACAGGACTGTCCTATGAGGAATGATTGAGGAGATTGAGTCTACAATTTCTGAAATTTAGAAGAATAAAGTGAAATCTTACAGAAATTAATAAGATTCTTGACAATAATTTTGACGAGAAGAGAGGACGCTTCCAGCCCTGGCGAATTTAAGACAGGAGCGTCCTGGGTTGACCCGAATGTCTGGGTTAGGGCTGAGATGAGGAGAAACTTCTTCACACAAAGGGTGGTGACTTTGGAATCCAGGCAGCAGCACAGGGATAAATATGGAGTGTACTGCACAGAGTCATACCTGGCATATAGGAAGATGGTCGTGGCTGTTGGAGCTCAGTCATTTCAGCTCCAGGACATCTCTGCAGGAGTTCCTCAGGGCAGTGCCCTAGGCCCAACCATCTTCAGCTGCTTCATCAATGACCCTCCCTCCATTGTAAAGTCAGAAGTGGGGATGTTTGCCTATGATTACACAATGTACAGAACCATTTGCAACTCCACAGATACTGGAGCAGTCCACATCCAAATGCAACAATGTCTGGACAATATCCAGGCTTGGGCTGACAAGTGGCAGATAATATTTGCATCACTCGAGGGCCAGTCAATACCAACTCCAACCAGAGAGAATCTAACCATCACCCTTGAAATTCAATGGCATTGCCAATACTGAATCTCCCACTATCAATATCCTAGGGGTTATCATTGATCAGAAACTCAACTGGACTCGCCAATTTCATCCCACAGTCCAAAGATGTGCAGGTTAGATGGATTGGCCATGCTAAATTGCCCAGAGTGTCAAGGGATGTATAGGCCAGGTGGATTAGCCGTGGAAGATGTGGGGTTACAGGGATGAGGGGTGGGGATGGGATGCTTTTCAGAGGGTCAGTGCAAGCTTGATGGGCCTAATGGACTCTATTTGCACTGTAGGGACTCTATAATTCTACATAAACACAGTGGCTACAACAGCAAGTAACTCACCTCCCGACTCCCCAAAGCCTGTCCACCATCCACAAGGCGCAAGTCAGGAGTGCAATGGAATACTCCCCACTTGCCTGGACGGGTGCAGACAAAGCAGCCCCCGCTTGATTGGCACCACATCCACAAACGTCCACTTCCACCACCTCCACAGCTCAATAGCAGCAGTGTGTACCATCTACAAGAGGCACTGCAGAAATACATTAAGGTTCCTTAGACAGCACCTTCCAAATCCATGATCATTACCATCTCGAAGGACAAGGGCAGTGGATACATGGGGACAGCACCCGCTGAAAGTTCCCCTTCAAGCCACTCACCATCCCGACTTGGAATTATATTGCTGTTCCTTCAGTGTCACTGGGTCAAAATCCTGGAATGCCCTCCCTAACATCAACCTATAGCACATGAACTGCAGCAGTTCAAGAAGGCAGCTCACCATCACCTTCTCACCAGCAATTAAGGATGGGCAATGAATACCAACCCAGCCAGCAATTCCTACATTCATGAATGAATATTAACAAGGTACTCAAGACAAAAGTTAACAGATTTCTGGGCAGCTAATGCCTTATTCAACAACAGAAAGTTTCAAGAGGCCAAATGATCTGGTCTGGCTCCTTTCTTATGCCCAGTCCTGGTCTCTTCAAGTTCCCCTCCAGAGAACCAGGGTTCTCTCGGTTTGATCAGAGCTAGGGAACTTCCAAAATTGATTCGACACTGGTCGTTCACTACCCCATCGTTTTCAATGACTAAACCTTTCACCATTCCTTGATTAACTCATTCTGAGGATTTACTTTCAAACAGATTTACCATGAAGTAAAACTCAGAGTTGGGCTGACGGACTCTCTCCCCTCCGTCCACTCGAGAACTCTGCGGATGTCCAAAGGTCACTGTATCGCCTTCCTTCAGGATGACATCACCTAAGGCCACAGGAAGCAGCAGTCAAATTTACAAAGTCAAACTTTCACCTCCGCCTCCTCTCTCTCATTTCACCCAATTCCAGCACGAAACGGCTACAGCTAGGGCTACTTGGATGGAGATCCCATAGAAGGTTTACTAGACTAATACCAGGAATATGCAGTTTGCCTTCTGAGGAAATGCTAAACAGGCTGAGCCTGTAACGTCTGGAATTAGAGAGTCAGAGGTGACTTAATCGAAACATACAGATCCTGAGGGGACTTGACCGGATGGATGTAGAAAGGATGTGTCATCTTGTGACAGAATCTCGAATTGAATACAACATAGCTGAAAAATAAGAGGTCAAATGACGGTTTTTTTTACGCTCAGAGGGTTGAGTGTCTTTGTAATTCCCATCCTCAGTGGCTGCAGAGTCTTTAAATATTTTTAAGGCAGAGGTAGGTAGATTCTGGGTTACCAAGCAGTGAAATATGCAGGAATGTGGAGTTGAGGTTAAAATCAGATCAGCCACGATCTTGTTGAATGGCAGAGCAGGCTCGAAGGGTCGAGCGGCCTACCGTTATTCCTTGTTCATATCATTGTATGAATAAGAAAAGGTTTAAAAACTAAAGGTTAATGGGTTCCAGATATTGTCCTGGCCCCCAGGTGCCCCCATTGGCCTGCCCTGACCTCTGCACCAGGTGTAACTGCACTCACTATCTATGCGGCGGTCATTGATGTAAACTCCAGAGAAGCTAGAGTCAACGAGGCGGTGCTGGTTATCCTGCGGCGAACGGATAATCCGCGCATGGGTCTTGGAGATAGTCTTGCGCCTCGATTCCTTGGCAGCACTGAGGACATAATCGACGACATCACTATTCCTTCCAATCAGAGTCACTCGTTTTCTGAAGCTGGGCCAGGAAGTGGGGAGGGGGGAAATAGGAAGAGTGACAAGAAATTAGATTAAAATCAGCTATCGCATGATCGACGTGCAAGAGAATGGCTGAAGTGAAGCTCTCTCATCCTAAACCAGGGCACCTTTCAACCAGTCAGCTTTCGCAGACAGTGCTGCTTCCTTTCAGTCCACTCAAGGACGAGGCCCCACTGTGCCTTGGCAGACTCAC